CTGATATTAGATCATTTAACCCTTTAAGCCCCAAAGTCGCAATATTGCGACAAGCAACATTGCTCACTTAAATGGGCTGTATGTAAAAATGTGGTGCAGAATCTTGTTCATACTTTTCACCAGGGGTTAGTGGACATGTGTGCCTGTAATATGAGCAACATTTGTGGGTGTGGTTATATTGAAAGTTTTTGAGTAAATTGAGTTCGTAAAACACCTGCGGCGCAGCGGCGCGGAGGCGAAGCAGCTGCGGTAGAGCTGAGAGGAGCGAGAGCAGAGCAGAGGGAAAGAGGGTTTTTTATTTTACTCACGAGGTCTTCAGCAGTGTTGGGCACGTTACTTTGAAAAAGTAATTAGTTATAGTTACTAGTTACTTCTCCCAAAAAGTAACTGAGTTACTAACGGAGTTACTCCACTATAAAAGTAACTAGTTACCAGTAAAAGTAACTATTGCGTTACTTTTTCGTTTTGTTCTGGAACATAATGTGCACCCGACGTGCGCATTTTTACCTTTAACAGTGCCAATATTTCCATCTAGAAAAGGCTGTTTTGCTGCTGAAGTCCTGTTCACTCTTCATCTCTCTCTGTGCTGTAAGCACTAAACACCAACACGCTCCACTGTGAATGTGGAAACACCGGTGACGAGCGGTGAGGCTGGTGAAGCACTGACTTCAGTCCAATCAGATGAACATATACATCATATAAATCAAGTGGACAATTTGTTTGGCTACAGCAAAATATGTTTTATGCCCGCATTGTTTGTTCATACAAAACGCAAAACTATGAGTTATGGGTCTTACCTTATAGCTATACCTTATAAATGACCTGCACAGTCCACTTCGGTTCAGACCAGTTCCTTGTTTAAATCCAGTGAATGGTTTGAGCGTAGATATGTAATCCTCCATTTGGAAATGAGTCCAATGAGTTTTAAAAAGTAAAACAAAACGCGTGTGTCCTCCGTAAACTCCTCTGTTTTGCTGCAGCCGGCTGCATCCAATTTCTAAAATCAACCGTCTTACACTTCACCTCTCTTTCTTATCATTCCTATAGTAATTGAAAAATTACCCTATGTGCATTTTAGATTATGTAAAAATGTGTTATATGTATGTTAAGCCTGGTTCACACGGCAGGATATTTAGGCCGATTTAGACCCGATTTACCCCTTACGACAATCTTAAGAAACGCTCCGATTTCCGTAACAAAATCTTACAGATTATCCTGCCGTGTGTGGTGTGTTAAGACTGCACTCGTCGCTCGGAAGGACATCGGGACTGCTCCCGATCTCAAATCGGGGATATCCAACATGTTGGATTGTTTTGGCCCGATTTCTTGTCGTGTGTGGTGTCCCCCGAGGACAAGCGAGCGCGTTGCCATGACTACGGCGTGTAGCCAATAAGAAGACGAGGTGACAAGCCGGTGAGGAAACACCGGAAAAAAACCAAAACACAGCAGCATGGCTTTGACCATTGCCTTTTCTTTGGATTACGTGTCTTCTCTGTTAACAACAAACTGCACACTATCGCCACTGCATCCTCTTCGTCCGCCATGACTGTTTACTCTGAAGTCACGCTTGATCTCGAGAGATTCGTGTGTGATGTTTGTGGCTTGCGTGATCTTGCCGTGTGGCTACGCACCACACACTGCACGACCAAAGTGGTTAGACGCAGGATTTTTAATCTCCCCGTGTGGGGTCTAACACGGAGAAAAATCGGCCGACAATTTTAAAATCGTCTCGTGTGAACCAGGCTTTAGCCAAACCTGTTGCTGTCCTTAGCAGATAAACCAGGAAGAGCAAGGAGCTTATCGATGGAATTGTATGCAGCCGACTTCTGCGCTCACATGCGCTCCTCTGAGGCCTCACGGTGATACAAGCCGTGGTTGAGCGCGATTAAGACCCATATTTGTTTCAAAAACACAATTTATGAGCCACCCTCTCAACTGTAGACATGTAGATTGTAAAGGAAATATGTTTTACATCAGCCAATAATTGCTGAGAGGTTTTCTCATCCTCCCTTCTCTCATGACAACACGTTCATTGTGCGTCTTGAGTAACGCGCAGTAACGGGATGTCGGAAATGATAACGGCGTTATAGTTACTGTCAAAGTAATTAGTTAGATTACTCGTTACTGAAAAAAGTAACGGCGTTAGTAACGCCGTTACTAGTAACGCCGTTATTCCCATCACTGGTCTTCAGTACCAGAGAAGTACTTGGTCTGGTACTGGCTCACTCAGAATCAGAGGAGGAAGACACACAGGTGTCCAGTGAAGCAGACACGGACATTATTGGTGACGGGGAGACCGCGCCATAGAGTCCACAATCAGCCCCTGTACAGCGGCTGCTTGTCCTCCGTGTGGCCGCGGTAGAAGCATTCTGTGAACGCCAAGCAGGATCCGTGGTGGAGGGGACAGGGGCATCATAACACCGGGCATGTGGGAGAAAGTAGCGGGGGTAGACATCCACGGGGAACACGGGAGACGCGGGAGAAGTCGCGGGAGAGCCGCGGGAAAAAGACACATCGCTAATCGCGTTCACTGCCTCAGCGATAATGAGGATAAAGGCAGTTCTTGAGAGAAAATAATCCACAAAAGTGGACCAGAAGTGTTGAAGAGCCTGTTGTTTCTTGTTGAGACGATCTGACAAGTTCTGAGCCCATTCATTTCATCTCTCGGTTTCTAAACGGTAAATCCTGGAGCCTCATTTCCACTGAGAAAAATAGTAAGCCCACTACTTCTCTGAAAGGGAAATATTGAAACCAATCTCAAGATTTCATGACTGTAAACTATAAAGAGTGCTGTCTTGATCACTGAAGGTCTTTGAAAATAATACAATTCCATATGGCCGCGAACCAGTGCTAAAACATTATGTATAATCTGGATCAGGGAATTTATTTCTATCCCAAATTAATTTCATACTAAAGATATTTCACATTGACTGTTTATAGTATTCCCTGGTCTCAAATAACTCCCAAGCTACAGCTTTTTGAAGTCTTTATACAATAATTAACATTTTCCAAAATGGCCGCCACCTTGATGACGTCACCATATGCAAATTAGATGACGAATCAACTTCCATCCCAAAGTTTGGTTCAAACTGAAGATATTTCTAATTTACAGTATGCCTTTATCTCAAACCATTTTAAAGTTATAGCCTTTTGAAATCTTGAAATCAAAATTGTATATTTTCTTGAAAAAACTCTGGCGCCTGTTAGATCTTAGACAACTTTCCTTTTTTGGAATAATACGTAAGTATAAGTAATGGTTATTTATATAGCGCCTTTCACAGACCAGAGTCATTAACTCATTCACTGCCATTGACTTATTTGTCTGAGAGCTGTGATTTCTGTCAAACTTCCCTCTATGCGCCTGGGGATTACAGGAGAACAAAACTAGCACGAAACAACATTATTTTTGCTGATGGAAGGAGACAGTCCAGTCTTTCAGAATCTGGTTTCATATTTCACATCGTCACAGCACATAATGTTTTGTGGGTCTTGAGAATCAGTGAAATTATCAAAAACGGCAGCAGTCAATGAGTTAAGCACTTTACAATTGTAGTTATGTCCCTCACTCCACACAGAGAGCGAGGTCATAAGATCTTTTTGCTTCGTCTTCGTTTACTTTGGAATGTTCTGGAAACAGCAGCGAGTCCTGAGTGTCTGTGAAACAGTTGTTTTGTGTTTTACAATTGTTATTTTTCTTGGTTTGTTGCTGCAGTTCAGTGTTCATGGTTTTACACTGGTCCAGACCAGAGCAGAGAGGATTCATGGTTTTACACTGGTCCAGACCAGAGCAGAGAGGATTCATGGTTTTACACTGGTCCAGACCAGAGCAGAGAGGATTCATGGTTTTACACTGGTCCAGACCAGAGCAGAGAGGATTCATGGTTTTACACTGGTCCAGACCAGAGCAGAGAGGATTCATGGTTTTACACTGGTCCAGACCAGAGCAGAGAGGATTCATGGTTTTACACTGGTCCAGACCAGAGCAGAGAGGATTCATGGTTTTACACTGGTCCAGACCAGAGCAGAGAGGATTCATGGTTTTACACTGGTCCAGACCAGAGCAGAGAGGATTCATGGTTTTACACTGGTCCAAACCAGAGCAGAGAGGATTCATGGTTTTACACTGGTCCAGACCAGAGCAGAGCTTCTATCTAATCATCTATGTCTCTTCAAATCAAACCAAGGGACATTTACACAAATGTGACAATAACATGAGTATAAGAAGAGTTAATGATGACATTAATGCGATTAATCAGGATCTAATATTTTAGTCCTTTGACCAATTATTATATATTTGTGTATAAGTTGTTTCTGTAGTAACTTGAGCCAAACAGTAGTTTTTCTGAGTTGCTACGACGACAGTCAAAGGAACTGTCAGTTTGTTGATGAGTGAAAAGATGAAGTAAAGTATAAAGTGTGTGACGTCTCTTCAGGTCTTCACAGGTTTCTTGGTCCATGTGAGTTTGAAGGCAGTAAATCCACGTCTCCTCAGCTCCGCCTCCAGCTAAACACAAACAGAATATTCCAGTTATTCCCAAACTTAAATCCTTCAGATTCAGACGGAGCAGGAGTCGTACCTTTTGCAGAATCTCAGACGATATTTTGTCATCGGCGGCGTCTGCACTGGTTTGTATGTTCAGCTTCACCGTGGTCTTCAGGGTCTGGACTGAGAGAGACGCCACTTTACACATTTTACAGACTTTATACACTTTATACACTTTACACTTTACACACTTTGCACTTAATACACTTTATACACGTTACAGAAGTAATATAATGACAATAATGTGGTGCTTTCTGCTCTAACGCAGTAATGTAAGGCATTAAAAAAGGTCAGTATTGTGCGTTACTTTGTAGCACTTTGTGTTTTGTGTTTCTACTAATCAGCAGGAGACACAACTGCTCCAATGGAATCCTGAGGCGTTCCCAAGTCAGAGCTGAGAGACCCTCTGTGTCCTGGTGGGACGTGCCCAGAACACTGCAGGAGGCCTCCCAAACAGATGATCCACCTCAACTCCTCTCAACGTGGAGGAGCAGTGGCTCTACTTTGAGCTCCCTCAGTGTGACTAAAACCCTCTATCTCTGAGGGAGCGCCCTCAGACCGCCCCGGTCTGAGAGAGACCACCACCCCGGTCTGAGAGAGAGACCACCCACCCCGGTCTGAGAGAGACCACCACCCCGGTCTGAGAGAGACCACCACCCCGGTCTGATAGAGACTACCACCCCAGTCTGAGAGAGACCACCAACCCGGTCTGAGAGAGACCACCACCCCGGTCTGATAGAGACCACCACCCCAGTCTGAGAGAGACCACCAACCCGGTCTGAGAGAGACCACCACCCCGGTCTGATAGAGACCACCACCCCAGTCTGAGAGAGACCACCAACCCGGTCTGAGAGAGACCACCACCCCGGTCTGATAGTGACCACCACCCCGGTCTGAGAGAGACCACCAGCCCGGTCTGAGAGGGACCACCACCCCAGTCTGAGAGAGACCACCAACCCGGTCTGAGAGAGACCACCACCCCGGTCTGAGAGAGACCACCACCCCGGTCTGAGAGAGAGACCACCACCCCGGTCTGAGAGAGACCACCACCCCGGTCTGAGAGAGAGACCACCACCCCGGTCTGAGAGAGACCTCCACCCCGGTCTGAGAGAGAGACCACCCACCCCGGTCTGAGAGAGAGACCACTCCATTATCATTTAAAAAAGATAATTCCCATTACAGCTTTGAATATTAAGGGGATGTCTGATATTTGTTTGAATATATATAATATATATATTTAATATTCAAATGATGTACGAGCACAAGTGCGATGATTGACAGCCCTTGGCATTACTTGATTTGTTAAAGTGGATTTTGAGCTATAGCTAAGAGAAGGGAAGGCAGGACTTACCATGGATCTATAATAATAACTGGATAGAGTATTACTAGCTTATAGCTGTCCCACCCACAGCCACAGGGGGCGCTGTGGTACTGCAGACTAAATTCACGAGGGCTACACAGAAAAAAGTCCCATAGAACTCAATGTAAATTAAAACAGCTCGACCTCAGCTGACAGAGAACCTGACAGAGAACCTGACTGAGAACCTGACAGAGAACCTGATCGAGAACCTGACCGAGAACCTGACCGAGAACCTGACCAAGAACCTGACAGAGAACCTGACAGAGAACCTGATCGAGAACCTGACAGAGAACCTGACCGAGAACCTGACCGAGAACCTGACCGAGAACCTGACAGAGAACCTGACAGAGAACCTGACAGAGAACCTGATCGAGAACCTGATCGAGAACCTGACCGAGAACCTGACCGAGAACCTGACAGAGAACCTGACAGAGAACCTGACAGAGAACCTGACAGAGAACCTGACAGAGAACCTGACAGAGAACCTGACCGAGAACCTGACCGAGAACCTGACAGAGAACCTGACAGAGAACCTGACCGAGAACCTGACCGAGAACCTGACAGAGAACCTGACAGAGAACCTGACAGAGAACCTGATCGAGAACCTGACCGAGAACCTGACCGAGAACCTGACCGAGAACCTGACAGAGAACCTGACAGAGAACCTGACAGAGAACCTGACAGAGAACCTGACCGAGAACCTGACCGAGAACCTGACAGAGAACCTGACAGAGAACCTGACAGAGAACCTGACAGAGAACCTGACAGAGAAGCTACAGCTTTTATAAAGGTCGGATTTTGTGGATGTTAGTGTTCCTTGTCGTCCTGAACTTTTTTCTTCTTAAATCCTTCGGTTTTCTTTAAATTCATATTTTACTGCCACAAACTCTGCTCCTTTCCTTCCCGCTCTGACTCCGTGCTGCTGCTGCTCTCATCACGCGCGTACTTGGCGCAAAGCATCATGGGAACTTGTCCACTGCGCAGAACCGGGAGGACCAGACGATGCCCAAATATGGACGAGTTCCGCTAATCTCCCGGTCTCCGTGAAGTCCCATGAACCACTGAGCACAAGCCATTCATTTGAACAGGACGCCATCTTGGATCACCGGGGCTTGGGACTTACCTGTAATATTATAATTCATAAAATTACTTTTTTATATCAACATTTAAGCCCAGGAGGTCAATTTAATACAATTCTTATACTTAGTAATTTATTTGACACTTTTCACTTTTTTGTTTGGACATTTTGACACCAAGATTCAAACTTTTCTTGCCGATGAGTATCAGCCTCATCAGCCACGAGGAAAGCAGCTGATGAATATATATATATATATATATATATATAGAGTGGAGTTAGTTATTTGCACACATCTTAACAGCAGCTCACCTTCATGACAGAGAAAAGGCTTCAGGTCCTGACACTGCGCAGTCATCCACTGGTGATCGTCGTTCTCTGCCACACAGTGCTCAGAACCGCCCACGTTCAGGGTTCTTCCTACGATCCAGTTGTTGAACGTCAAAGAGCTGCCGTCTGCCCAGGTCCAGGGATTTCGCGACAGACCGATCCACACCTCCTGACCTGGTTTGGAGTTGAAGACGACCTGGTTTTGGGCTACGTCTTCGATCATGGCCAGGTCTGTGTAGTGCTGGCGGCAGTAGTCCACAGCCGCAGACCACGATTTGCTCATGTTGACGTAGGTGTAGGAGGGGCCTGTGTCGGTCTCTGAAACCACAAACACCAATGAAGCTTCGGTGACGCATTATCAAACCAATCCTTTGAGGGGTTTTTCCCAGTTTCAATACGATTTGTTTTTGTACAGCCCTAAATCACAACAGCAGTTTTCTCGAAGGACTTTACAAAGCAATCGATTTACCAACACAGATCAGAGAATAAGAATAAAAAGTGAATAAGCTGACAGCCGTGTAGAGCACAGTGGATCATACAACCAGGACGTGGCGTTGGATAGAGACCATTAGCACTCAACCGAGCTCAACCATGTGGAGCCGATCCTGGGAGCCTCCTCCTTGTTGCCCATATATATTGTTTGTATATTGTTATTCAAAGGTGATCAAACCTTTGAATAACAATATACACAATCTAAGTTTAGAAAAGTCTGATTAAGGAAGTGATTAAATGTCTCAATATACAACAAATGTCTCAGATCAGAGGAAGAGGTTGCCATGGTAACCCTACAGTTATAGTTGTTCTTGAACCACAAGGAATGAGTTTAAGAAAGAAGGCTAAGTCCTCGAGGTTCAATCAAACATCTTTTTGGCACCTCTGGTCTCGTGTCCCTCATTATTTGTCGCACTCCTGAAACAATCATAGCAGCACTTATGTAAATATCTTATAAATGTTTTGAAAGCCGTACCCTTGAAGCAGACGGAATATCTACTCGCTTTGCATTGGATGTCTCGCCATTTATCCTCAGTCGGGTTCATGATGATGCACGTCTCCAGACCAGCGTAAAAGTTGGGTTCCCCTGGGAGTTTGAAGTTCTGGTAGCCGCTCTGACTGCCCCGGCCTGTGGCAGACCACTTCCAGGAGTTGGCCTTGTCGGTCATGTTCCCTTTCCAGTTCTGGGGATCATCATGAATCCCGATCCAAGCAGAGGAGCTGCTGAAGCCGGCCGGTTTGAGGGCCAGCTGCGCCTCCTCCACACTGGAGAATATGGCCAGGTCTGAGTGCTTCTGCCGGCAATAGGCTCGAGCTTCATCCCAGGTTTTTTCAATGTCCACGTAGAAGTATCGACGAAGAGGAAAGCGGGAGCTTAGAACTGGGCCACAGCCTAGAGAAGAAGCAGACATTAAACAGTAAGACTTTAGACTTACACTATAGTTTTACACAACTGTGAGCCATGTATTCTCTTCTGTTATGGAAGAGTGAGAGAGAACATGCAAACATCACCTAAACAAATACAACTTCAACACAAACTTAGCACAAACAATGTGTAAACTTCTTACCGAGACAAAGCAGCAGCAAAACGTGTCTCATTCTGGATTTCACTGTGAGCAGAAAGAATTTGTCTTGTTTTTATTTATATTCTCAATCCTCTCATACTATTTCCTCTTTAAAGCCGCACAGAGCAGGTTTTTAGCCGTATCATTACAGCTTTCAAAAAACGTAAAAGTCCTCGTTTGTGGCCAAAGTGAAGACCCCTTTGTATGAGCGAGCCCCGACCTCAAAGCATGACATTGAAGGTAGCTTGTGTTGTCGTTTCTATCGCAGCAGAAGGAGATACAGACGTCAGCCTCACCTGTTCAGCTCATCAGCTCTGTCAGAGAAACGACTGATTTGCCTTTTTAAGCTTCTCTCTCACTTCTCCTCCCCTCCCACCAACAGAACAAGTGCGTTAATCCTTTGTGATGCCTGTATATGTTAGTGCAGTAATATATAGTAGTATGTATATATCTGTACATGTCAGCAGTGACTCAGTAAAGTGACATTCTGACGTTCAGTGACATGTGAGGTCAGGTCTTTAGTATTTGTTAGTCCTCATTGTTCGTTGTACAGTCTGACAGCAGCAGACGATTATCGATTGGTGTTGGTTGTTTGTTTTTTGTTTGTTTTTTTAAACAAATGATTAGTCTGGTCCACCCTACTGGTCAAAACAGCAATTGCACCACTGCAAATCTACCAAGATCCGGCTGTCTGCCCGCACAGCTCGAACAAGGACAACAACAACAACTTATTCTTGTATAGCCATAAATCACGACAGAAGTCCTCTCAGAGACTTAACAAAACCATTGAAATCACCAACACAGATCAGAGAATCGACAGTTAAAACATAAAATATACACATACAGTAGGTCCCATTTCGTTTTGTCGTCTTCATTCACGCTTTTCAAGCTGCGTGAAAAATATTACATCTTATCGCCACAAGGTGGCAGGTTAAGTCCGCTTTAGCTCTGCCAGCGACTTAGACACTCAGGTATCATACTGCGTGCAAACCTGTCCAGCCCAGAGATCCTATATGGCTGAATGGTTAGCATTAAAGACTGGGACCTGGAGAACCCAGGTTCGATTCTTGTCTGAGGCAATTTTGGTTGCACATCTTTTGGTTGCTTGTGTGCAATTACGTAACTTCATCAGATTGTTATCTTCTTTCCTTGTCAAAAGGAAATGTGTAAAATTGGCTGTGTGTTCAAGCCGTGCATGTGAATGTATATGTGTTGCTATTGAATGCTTTTTCAAAGTAAGAGCATAACAGACAACATATACATATTTTGTACTAATGTTAATCTTTATAATTAAATTGCATTAACGTATATATGTGATGCGATCTGGGAAAACCCGTCGGATGTCACGCTGGCACGTTCCGAGTAAACAGTAAAAATAGGTCGATTGTCATTTTTTTGGCAAAATTGTTTTTTCATTAAACAATTATTATATAACATCTTGTCTTTAATGTCTGAAAAAATCTAGGTGAAATTCACTAGTGTTATACGTTAAATATTGTGATATGTTTTGATAAACCGAACGTTACGTTACATCCTCCGCTCTGGCCCCGGGAGCAGCTGCTGTGACCCCCGCTCTGACAGTGAGCGCACTGCAGTCTGGGCTCCGAGCGCGGACCATAGACACGCACAGAACCACAGACTGGACCATAGACACGCGAACAGAACCACAGACAGGACCATAGACACGCGAACAGAACCACAGACAGGACCATAGACACCGAACAGAACCACAGACAGGACCATAGACACCCGAACAGAACCACAGACAGACATTTACATTTACATATACGCAGACAGAACCCAGACAGGCGGAGACACGCGGATCATAGACACTTGGACAGAACCAGAGACACACGAAGCATAGACACTCGAGTCGGACAGGTCCATTTGTTTTATTTGTGTTTAAAGTTACCTAAGTTTCTCCTTGCATTAAAAATGCTTGGTGGTTGTGGATATTTAGACTGCGTGATTTGATAGAATAATACTGGCAATGTAAATTAATACAATTATTATGGCAATGTAAATTTATAAATTAGTAAATTATAAAGAGAAAGAAAAAGAAGAGGAGGTCAAAATTCAATCCATTGAATATTGAAAGAATCAATACATTCTTGATTTTCGACTAATTCATGAGTGTTGTGTGTTTAATTGGTGCCAAAGTAACATCTTTTTAATCTTCTACAACATAGTGACTAAAACAAGTGTGCCATAACAGAGTAATTTAAAATTTACATGTTATAGTGACAATACAATACAATTTATTCTTGTATAGCCCTAGGTCACAGAAGTCATCTCAGAGGACTTAACTGTATAAAACCATTGAAATCACCAACACAGGTCAGAGAATCAACAGTTAAAACACATGAAGAATATAAAGCACACACAGAAGAAAATGTCCATACATGTTGTAGAATGCTAAAGTGTCCTGATCATCACCAATCCTTTCTGTTGGACACTAACTGTCCAACAAGACCCTCCTGCATCGACAAGGAAAAACTCTTAAAAAACCCAGTGGGAAAACGTGAGAAACCTTGGGGAGCACTAGGGAAACCCACAGGGAGGGAGACCCATATGAGAAAGGGATCCGCTCCTCCGGACGGACAGGCTAATGATCTAGGACCTAAGCTAGCTACAGAACGTGGACCAGTGGCCGCTGAACGTGGACAGGTCCGGTGCAGGACCGAAGCACTCCCAGGCAGGTCGGGCGGGGCAGTCCGCAGGTGTAGATGGAAGAGGCCAGGCTCAGAGATCCCGTCATCGTACCATGAAACAGACAATGGGACAACGGGTGAATAGCAATGAACAAACTACAGTCAGAATCCTAAAA